GTCCTACAGAGTAGGAATGGCTCCCAAATGTACATACTCTGTAGAGACACAGGGCTTAATGGGATGTCTGGGTTGTGGCAGCTCTGACTCTGTGGATGGTTGAACGCATGTTCTAAAAGGGTTTAAGATCACAACTTCCATGTCTTGATCTATAATCATTCAGAATGTTATAACAGATCAAGAAACCCTCACCAGACATGTATAGAATGTTATAATAGGCTGCATCTATGTATACAAGCAGGAAATAGCCAAAGCTTTAATCTAGCCTAATTTATTTTCCCTTTCTCTTACCCTCTCCTCCTTCCTCCAAGAACACAAAACAAAAAAACTAACAAAAAATATTTTTGAGTGTTTATTTTCATTTCGCTTTACCCAAGCCCTCGTCTTGGTTCCTGGACTATCGGAGAGGGTCTTCACTCCCACACACCCCCGAGTGGGAAGGGGCCACCACCCCAGCCGGGCCTTGCCCCTCCTGGCCTTAATGAATGAAACTTGGAAAAGTTGGAACTATTTTTTTTAACCAGCTGTAGAAATAAACCATCTCCCCAAGAATCTTCTGCCTGATTCCCTACCGCTTTCCCCTGCTCTCTTTCCAGCCTCTCGGAATGCTGGGGGAGCCCTGGAGAGAAATTTTCCAAATTTGGGGTGAGATGGAAACCATGTAAATATGTGAGATGTATACACACTGGCAAGAGGGGGAGAAACATTTTGTGCTTGGTTTTTATTTTTTGGTTTTCTGGGTTGTTGTCCCTTCCCATCCTAAAGGGTTTTGTACGCCATGCTAAACCGATATTTTAACATGGTTTCCTGATTTCTGACCCATCTCTATTTTCTGAATGTGTTTCCCCTTCACCATTTCTTCGTCTGTTTGTTAAGGTTTAAGCTTAAATTTTGTTACTTTTTTCTTATTTTACATATCAATCCCAGTTCTCTCTCCCTCCCATCCTCCCATGCCCCCCACAGTCACCCCCATCCATCCCACCCCAGGGAGGGTGAGGCCTAGGCCCTCCCCCATGTCTCTGGGCTATGGGAGTATCCTTCCATGGGGAATGTGTTCCCAAAGTCCGTTCCTTCACAGATACATCCTGGTTCCATTATCAGAGGTACTATAGACTTCCCAGACCTCCTAACTGAAACCCACATTCAGGAGGTCTGGGTCGATCTTATGCTGGTTTTCCAGCTATCAGTCTGGAGTCCATGAGCTCCCCCTTGTTCAGGTCAGCTGTTTCTGTGGGTTTCTCCAGCCTGGTCTTGACTCCTTTGCTCATCACTTCTCCCTCTCTGCAACTGAATTCCAGGAGTTCAGGTCAGTGTTTAGCTGTGGGTGTCTGCTTCTGCTTCCATCAGCTACTGGATGAGGGCACTAGGATGGCATATGAGGTAATCATCAATCTCATTATCGGGGAAGGGCATTTAAGGTAGCCTCTCCACTATTGCTCAGATTGTTAGTTGGGGGTCATCCTTGTAGGTCTCTGGACCTTTCCCTAGAGCGAGATTTCTTTAAACCTATAATGGCTCCCTCTATTTTATTTTTATTATTTTTGGAACAATGTTTGGTACATTCTCTTTGATTCTTTAGTGCAATAACAATAATAACAATAGCAATAATAATAATAATGTAGACTGGGAAGTTCCCTTTATATTTATGTTATAGTAAATATTTATTACTCACATTAAAAAAAAAGAATGTTATAATAGATCAAGAAGCCCCTCGCCAGACATGTAAAGCCCCTTGATCTTGGACATCTTGGCCTTCACAATAATCTTCTGTACACTACCTTAGCTGTGGTATTTTATCAGAGCAGTCCAAAACAAATTCAGACAGAAACTATCTCCACTTTCTAATCAACTTTTCTCTGAACCTAACACTGCTCTAGAAAATTCAAAGTATAATTAATAGCTAGGAATAGTAGTCCATGCCTATATACCAGTACTCAGGTTAATGCAGGAAGAATCTGAGTTTGAGGACGACCTACAAGCAAGGCTCTGCTTCAAAGCAATTAAAGTAAATACTAATAATAACAATAATAATCTATTTTTAAGGATGATAAAATAATTCTTGTTCAGATAATTCCAACAACAAAATAAATATATTTACTAGTAGCAATATGAGGAAAAACTTGAAAGGCTTTTTTTTTTTTAATCAGCCAGGCATACAGTAGCCCATGCTTGCAATCCCAGTACATGGGAGGTAGAGCAAGTTCAAAGTCAACCTATGCTACAAAGAAAGACTTTGCCTTTGCAAGGGAGAGGAGGACTTTTTTTTTTTTTTTTTTTTTTAAATCAGGGATGGTTTCAAAATTCTGATACTGCTCAACACCCCAGGGTGGCCAAGAGAAGCGTTACAGGCAGTCCAGCACGCCAGGCCCACAAAGTCCGCTTGGGCAGATCAGAGCATCCATTCTTCTCTCTAAGAACCAACTTTGTGCACTCCCACTCACCCTGATCATCCATCACCTTTCTCTAAATTTACAAGCATGTGACTGCTTTCAGTGAAAGTTTAGAGGATTTAGGGAGTCAGACCTTCAAGGGCTCAAGAGAAACAATTTAAAACTTTGTCTTAGGTTAGCACACAATGGTGCACTAGCCAGGGTGTAAGACGCGTCTTAGGTTAGCACACAATGGTGCACTAGCCAGGGTATAAGACGCTACTGCTGAGATGTCTTAATCAGTCTTTAAGGGGCTTTGATGGAAGAAAAAAACATATCTGATGATAAATTCTTTCTGGGACATTATGAGGATATTTCTAATGCAAGTGTGAGGGTTAGGTCAGGGTTGGAATAAATTAATAGGAAATATTTCACCTTGATTTTCCATTTATTTATGATACATATGTCCATTATAATTGATATTCCTGGTAACTTGCCATACTCGTGGATATATACCCATGTCACTTACATCTTATTTTAGTATTCTTTTAAAAATAAAAGTCCTTTTCAGATGTAAAAACTAAGTGAATGAGATCCTGACTTTTCTTCCTTGCAAGGAAAAGTTAATCTTCACAGGAACAAGGACAGACTGGAACCCGACTAAATGGAGCAGTACTTTCATGAAGGCATGCAAACTGAAGTATGTGTCTGTAAGAATCTTAAGTTATCGGCACCAGGATGCCGCCTGTGCACAAGAAAATGAGTCCCCAGTATCTCGTGGTTGCGAATCACAACCAGCAAATAACACTTGTGTATGAATTTTAACACAGATGGTAACTCCCATAAGACAGGAGTGATGGTTTGTACAGCTATATCCAACATCAAACTGTTACACTGGATAGAAGGTGCCACTGACTTTGCTTTAGCAGTAATGGTATTTACTCTGCTTGGCACAGACAGACTATTGAGTAAGCATATGACTCCCTATATATTCCTCACTATGATTAATGCCAACAAGGTCCAGCATGCCTATTAGCTTCCTTTGGGAAACTTTTTAAATTAAAATGTGCTCTATTTGAGAGCAATGGTGTAGAGGCAACACATTTTTAATGACAACGGCTATCTTTAGTAATGAAGATGTTGTGTGACCAGACAGCTTTTCTATAATTACAAAACTCTTTCACCTCCAAACAGTCCTGATTCTTTTGGTAAATCCTTACTTCCTAAAGCCCCCAGGGTTCACTGTCAGACACTATCACAGATGACAGACTCACAAGAAACAAACACAAAATAATGAAACTGTCAGATCAAGCCATAACCCTTAAAGCCTTAAGAGCTCCCCCTGTCTCCCTGCCCCCCTCCCCCGTGCCCTGAGCTTCTTGGGGGGATGTGCCCACACATTTTACTGTCAGGCTTTTAAATATGTCAACATGTATGAAACAGATGTGATTCCTTCTCATTTAAAACAGAACCTGTAAAGAAGCCATGCCCTGAGGTGCTTCCCCAGGGCACTGACCTACAAAATCCCATGCAAAACCCAAGAACATGATAAACACACAAAGTCACAAGCACCCTAATGAAATGCTTTTAGTGCCCTACTTCACAGCCCACAGACTTTATAGCCCACAGGTTAAGGAAGTCAGGAAGCTTGTGCAGAAGCAGGACCTGGCCCAGGCAATCTGACATGTGTAACTGTCCTGCTGTTCCCAGGAGACATGGCTCTGACTACATCTGCCCCATTCAAGCCTGGGCCTGCAGAGCAAGGGCAGCTCCTCCTTTTCTGGACGCTTCTATAAAAGGCTGGCACTGCCCTGCTTTGTCCTCCAGAGCTGTTGAAAAAATATGAAGTAGAATGAAAGCCTTTCACAAAATTAAAAGTTCAGGGCTGGAGAGATGTTTCAGTGGTTAAGAGCACCATGTGGGTTCAGTTCCCAGCACCCACATGGTGGCTCACAACCATCTGTAACTCCAGTTCCAGAGCATTCAACAACTTGCAGACAAATAAAAATAAATTTATCATTAAAAAATTAAAAGTTCAAAGTAAATGTGTCACACTATATATGTTTACAATACTTCAGGGACATAGGAACTACTTTCTGACAGGCAGAAAGAATCTATTACTGTTTCTGGCAGCCTTTAAAGTGCATTTTGTGGTGTATATCTGTGTCATTTGTAAAATGGGAGGCTACCACACAGGAAATCAAGATCTTAGGTGCAAGACAAAATGCTCTGGACAAGGACTACAAAAAATAGATGAGACATCTACCATCAAGAACATCCAAGCAGTTTCAAAGTACACACACATATACAAACAACAATCACCCAGAAAAATTAACCTCATTAACAAAATAATTTTTAAAGAATATATTAAGATATTAGTTTTTAACTCCAAAACATCACATCATGTGAGAACAGGTAGTGGTATCTTAAAAATATTGGAAACTCTCAAGCCGGGGGTTGATGGCACACACCTTTAATCCCAGCACTCAGGAGGCAGAGACAGGTGGATCTCTGTGAGTTCCAGGCCAGCCTGGTCTACAGAGTGAGTTCCAGGACAGGCTCCAAAGCTACAGAGAAACCCTGTCTCAAAAAATCAAAAACAATAAAATAAAATATTGGAAACTCTCTTACCTCCCACATGTACACATTATTCCTAACCTGAGATCGTTTCTTCTTGTCACCAACAAATGGCCCAAACTTTTTCCCTTTTAAAATTGGTTTAGTGGCCCAGACACCTATAAAAACAAAACCAGTATTTTTATGATGTAATGTGGTTATTTAAAATATTAAAAGCATTAATGTCATTCAGTTTTATGAAACAATTAAAAAGCAAGGCTGCCTAACAGCGAGATAACTGTGAGTAAACTCAATCAAACCAAATCAAGTCCTCCAGGGGCTTGTGAGTTTTCTTCTGTAGCCCCTCAGTATTGTCTAAATGGTCTGTAAAGAGTCTGCACTGTTTTATAACTCTTTAAAAGTTTATATTAGCTTTGTATATGTAAAATAGACCACATATAGTACAATCAAAAAACTTGAAAATTAAAAAATACAAATGAAGTAAAACTACAAATAAATTCTTCATTGTCTTTCTACAGATTTCAAACTATCCCTACTAAACACAAGTTGTTCTTATAATGGTTAGGACTTGGTTTTATTGATGAACACTGTCAAAGTTATTTGCCTAATTAGAGTGGAAAATCCCTCCTCTCTCATTAGTTCATGAAACACAACTCATGGCACAGCTTGCCCTCCAGAGTTTCAAACAGTCGACCTACAGGCTCACCCATAGCAACCCTAGGATTATTTAATCTCTTATTCACCTACCATAAAGCATACAGATAGGATAAAGGCCCAGTCAATGGGATGGCAGGAGCCCAGGGATCAAGAGACTCACACATTCTAGACAGGCTCCCTCAGGTGGGCTAGTTCTGCCATGTGTAGCTAAGACGTATTTGCTACACTCCCAGCAAAAGTCAGCTTGGACGCATATCTGTGAACACTAACAACTAACAACCACCTGTCTGAACTGTGAGGCAAGCACTTTTGTTCAGACAAAATGACATAAAAACCCCAATGCTCACTAAGCAAATTTCCAATGAGAATTACAAAAAGTGCTTGTCAGAGTCACACACACTCACTGAGCAGCAGAAGAGCATCTACTCTTACAAGATTTCCACAACTTACCCTTAGCCTTCCATCTAAAACTTAGATGACAAAAACAAAAATCAAATGTATACAAACTTGTGTGTTCAACAAGAAATTCTAGCCAGCCTATGTTGCTCATTCAGATACCCCCAGAGGGTCCCTAAGTGTCTGGAAATGTTGAAACAATGGGTAAAGCAGACTCACTGTCAGTAACAGGGACAGAAAGAAAGTCAACTGGAAAGGAAATAAATGTGATAACATAATCACATTCAAGGCACAGCAAAATCAGAGGAAACCACCCACTTTGTGGGACAAGGTTCACAGGGATGCACAGGAGGGCACACAACCAAAGACAGAATATGCAGGTTCAGTGTGGGAGGGGGACTGCCCCCCCCCTTTTTGGGACAGCATTTCTCTGTATAGCCCTGGCTGTCCTGGAACTCACTCTGTAGACCAGGCTGGCCTGGAACTCACAGAGATCCGCCTGCCTCTGCCTCCTGAGTGCTGGGACTGAAGGTGTGTGCCACCTCCCTGCTAGTTTCATTTTTATAACCTATGTCTACCCTGGATTCTTGTGTGGAAAGTACATATACACCACAAAATTTAAGTGGGGGTCAACCTTTCCTTCCTTGGCATAATGCCCAAAGGAAGCAGCCTACTCTTTGCTGCCTGACTCCTGTGATGTGCCTACTCACCAATCCGGGTCCTGTCAACCGCAGATGGTAAAAGTCTCACTTCCTCTGGAAGTCCACGCAGCACATGTTCAGGTACCTCGGCCAGAGTCTCAGTGGCGACCACAGACTCGGTGCTCTGTAAGTCAAACAGCAAAGGATCACAGGAAAAGAAGAAAACCAGTAGTGCTGGCTTTCGTTCTGTTTTGCATTGCTTTTTAACTTCCCATCCAATAAGCGAACAATGAAAGCTAACTGAAACTGGAGTATGCAAAGCAGACTGGGGCAGGTCATTAAGCAGCTCCACAGTTCCCGTGCCAGTTACTGACTCTGGTAATGAAACACTAGCAGCCTGTAACACCGGGATCTATTTTACTCCGGCCACCTATATCCAGTTTCAAAATATTTAAGTCCTTAGCACTGCACTGCTCTTTAACTTCTAAGAGAACCAGATAGCAAGGTACAGCTCACACCTGTTCCTAAAGCCAAGGCTACCAGCAGTATACCACAACCTTAAAAAATAATTTTGGCATACTCCATGAAGGCCATCTGACCAATCAGATGTGGCCCCTTCTGAATTCCTCCAGCAGCCTGAGCAACTTGGGACATCCCACAGAGGGTGACAGCTTACTGTTAACCCTCACTACACGAGAGACTTCCCAAGAAGCGATAGCTGACCACTTGGCACTTGGTCATTAGACAGTAAAGGCATGATAGCTCAGAGCTAACAGGAAATAAAGAATGCTATGCAATTATCTCTCAAAATTCAGCTGGAATTCATCAAAATCTTAAACAAGATTAGTATTAGGTGTTTATGAAGGAATAAGGGGACTGATGTCAATGAGGAGAACAAAGATGTAGCTCTTAGAATAACTCACAAATCAATCAAATAGAAAACCAAAAAGATTAATTTTCCCACAATGAAGCATTTGCAATTCTTCTTTGTTTGTTTTTTTGAGACAGGGTCTCTCTGTATAGTCTACTCACTCTGTAGACCAAGTTAACCCAAACTCAGAGATGCACCTGTCATTCTTTCCAAGTGCCAGGATTAAAGGCCACCATAAGACCGGAAGGACTTATAATTCGTTGCAACATTAAGTGTGGGCCAGGCTTCATGATGCATGCAGAGATCCATAGCTAAGCACCAGGCCAAACTTCTGGACTTCAGTTATAGAGAGGTTGGAGTGATAATAAGAGCAAAGGAGTCAAGACCATGTTGGGGAAACCCACAGCTGACCCAAGCAAGTGGGAACCCACTGACTCCAGACTGACAGCTGGGGAGCCTGCAGAAAACCGAACTAACTAGCCCCTGAATATGGGTGACAGTTGTGGGGCTTGGACAGTTTATGGGACCACTGGCAGTGGAACCATTATTTATCCCTAATGCATGGACTGGCTTTTCGGAGCCCATTCCTTACAGAGGGGCACTCTCTCAGCCTAGACACAGGGAGAGGGCCTTGATCCTTCCCCAAATAATGTGACAGACTTTGATGGTTCCCCATGGGAGACCTCACTTTCTCTGAGCAGTGGATGGGGGTGGGGTGGAAGGAAGGGGAGGGAGAGTGAACTGGGGCTGGTATGCAAAATAACATTGTTTTAAAAATAAAAAAGAGTATCTCTGTGATACTCAAAGCCAGCCTGGTCTCTGTATTGAATTCCAGGAGAGCCAGAACTTCATAATAATATAATAAAGACACCCTTTCTCAAAAAAAACAAAATGTTAGGTACTCAAACCCCCTGCCCCCCCCCAAAAAAAGTCATCCAAACTCAAAACTCCCGGAGTTTCAATTAAAAAAAAAAAAAAAAAAAAAGTCTGTTTTAACAAAAATCAATTCCAGTCATCATGGACGACTTTCTGGCCTGCCTGGGAGTCAGAACTGCTTGGAGTCAGAAAGCCCAAGAGGATATCTACAGATGTGCTGCCTCTGGGGCCAGGCCAAACCACCAGTGTGCTTGCTTCAGAAGCAAAATACTTTGTTCTACTCTGACTTACACCCTTTTCAACAAATCACCTAACACATTTTCTGAAAATGGAATTTTCAAATTACCCCAGAAAGCAGCCTCCTGTACCTCTAATTAGCTAAAAATATGAATAAACTTAGCAGACATTTTTCACTCCTACATATGGTATTCCCATTTAAAAATGTTTTAATCTATAAACTTGGTATTTGGAAAAATGAATAAGCTTTCTGCCCAAGGGAGAAAAATACTGACCTGACAATATCCTATAATATGACTTTTTTCCTATGGCTCCAATAAACTAAATAACATCAATAAATACTAGCCATTCTATGAGTGTGGGAGGCTGGTCACTTATTTTCTAGCTGTGTCTCACCTACTCTCCCCTAGGTAGCCCCTACACACACACACACACACACACACACACACAGAGAGGCCTAGGGAAGTGGCCTAAGTTACTCACAGGTGACTCTGAACACTGGTCTAACTTTGAAACCCAAATTCATAGTCACTTTGGGTTTCCATTAAGACAAACTGGAACCATGGAAGATCCTCTGGTCCATAATTTCCAGACTCATGGGAATAGCAGCAGGAAATATTGCCCAAAGCAGGAATGGTCTTCCATAGGAAATTCATCACTTCAGTGGAGACATGTACTAAAACTTGTGATTATAAAGGGCCTCAGCAGAACTGCCAAGGGTTAAGTCTTTTTTGTGTAAACCCATTATCCAGGGTGTGTCATATGTTTTGTTTTGGTTTTGGTCTTGCTTAGCAGCCTCCACTCAAACTGGCTGGACTCAAACTCAGTATCTTCCTGCCTCAATCCCCAAAGTACTGGGACCATGAGGATAAGATGCCACATAATGTGGGTTCATCTTTCTAAGAGAAGCTCCCTTTGCTGTCCACTGTAGTTTTCATCAATGAAAATAAGACTCAACTAAATTCACAGCAAAACACTCTAGAGCCTATCGGTCATGGCTTCCCCTTACTGGAACATCTCTCTGGCTGCAAACTGCTCAGCACATTCTTAGAAAAGCAATGGCTGGAGAAGTAGAAGGCCCTCCCTTTCCTTGTTCTCTCTTTAGGCAATCTTTCATAACTACTTGCATATTGTGTTGACTATGCATCATGAAACTTGCTATGTGTTGACTGTGAAACCCTGTGAGACTACAGTAGATACAGATGGTGTCTCTCTCATTTCCAATGTTGGAGACTGGAAATATAATAATTATAAGTATCTGATTCTTTGTAAAATAACTAATGTAACATCCTTAAAAACAATAGAGGGGGGAGAGAGAGAGAGATACCATAAAAGAGGGAGCCATTATAGATTTCAAGAGAAAATTGACTCTAGAGAAATGTCCAGAGACCTACAAGACTGACCCCAACTAACATTTTGAGCAACAGTGGAAAAGGCTACCATAAATGCCCTTCCCTGATAATGAGATTGATGACTAACTTGTCCACCATCATAGAGCCCTCATCTAGTAGCTGATGGAAACAGAAGCTGACACCCACAGCTAAACACTGAGCTGAACTGGAATCCAGATGCAGAGAGGGAGGACAAGACCAGGCTACAGAAACACATAGAGACAGCTGACCTGAACAAGGAGGGGCTAATGGGCCCCCAGACTGATAGCTGGGAAACCAGCACTGGACTGACTCAGACCCCCTGAACATGGGTCTCAGTTAGAAGGCCTGGGCAGTCTACAGGACCTCTGACAGTGGAACCAGGATGTATCCCTGGTGCACAAAAGGACTTTGGGGGCGTGTTCTCCATGGAGGGATATTCCCTTAACCTAGAGGCAGGAGGAAGGCCCCTAGACCCTACTCCAAATGACTTGACAGATTTAGATGACCCCTCGGAAGGCATCACCCTCCCTGTGGAGGTGGAATGGGGGGTGGAATGGGAGGGTGGTCGGGGATGTGGAAGGATGGAAGAGAGGGAGGGAGGGACGGAGAGGGATCTGGGATCGATATGTAAAATAAGAAAAATAAATAAAAATTTTAAAAAATCTCTCTCTGTCTCTCTCTGTGTGTGTGTGTGTGTGTGTGTGTGTGTGTGTATGTGTGTGTGTTTATGCTTGCTTGCATGTATACATGTGCACCTCATGTATGCTTTGTGCCCAGAGACCAGAAGATACAGGAAGTTGTGAGCTGCCATGTGGGTGCTGGAAACCAAACCCAGGTCCTCCCCAAGAGTAGCTGTTAACTCCTGAGCCACCTCTCCACTGCCATCGCCTCACCTCTCTTAAGAGGGACAAACATGAGCAAGCAGTCATCTCTCAGGATACATTCCACACGCATGTGGGAATGTCTTGAATTTGTGATAGATACTCCTGTAGCTAATATGGTTGTCCCCCACCTGGTTCCAGGACCAGAACCCACCCCGCTCACTCCCACATCTCTGTAGGAACATAGTCCACAAATGCTCCAGTTTTTATATAAATAGCACAGAATGTGTCCCTGACCTGCATATATCTTCTCATATATACTTTAAACCCACCCAGTATGGGTTAAGCACTATGCAAACAGATGTCAAATCTTATAACATGAGCAAGAGAAAAGCCTCTACGTGTTAAATGCAGGAGCAAGTTTGCCTTCCAAATATTTTCAACCTGAACTTTGTAAAGAAACCATGGATACAGAGGGCTGACTACACAAAAATCCTTTTTTATTAGAAAATGCAATTTTAGAAACAAGCTATTTAGAAGTAAATCTTTGGACCAAAAGAATTTTTTTTTCTCTCCCATATAGCATTCATATAGCTTACTTGACAGAACCAGATACATTTTCTTATTCCGAGCTGGCTGACCTTGCTTCTTACGTGAAGTAATCACAACTGTTTCTCACTGAAACTACAGTGTTTATTCAATATTAGTGCATTAATGTATTTCTGGGTCCTACTGCAGTACACACTACACACTGCATTTGCCCCAACAATGCATATCTGTAGTAAGGAACAGTCAAGATGAAATGCAAACAATTACCATGCTTGGAATCAAAAGCAAGCACGGAGAGGGAGCAGCGATGGGATGGGAACAGAGGCCCCACTTCAGAGAAAAATGTGCTAAGCTTCAGGTGTGACAAAATGCAAAAGGCAACAGTAAGGATCGAATCATGACTAGGAAGAAGCCTGGTGAACTCTCAGGGCAGTTAGGCAACACAAAGGTCAATGTG